TATATATATACCCCTCAATTACTATGTAATTACATATCTAGCACTTAACCTTTAATTTTTTATATATATCGCCTTATCTATACATGAAAATGTGTTTTTCGCTTTTTAAAAGTTAGAATGGTAGTATTTTTTATACGATATAGATGAATTGGGTGTTAGAAATGGAAAAAGTAAAGTTTAGGTGTTAGATATGTAAATATGTAGGTTTTGGGTTGTATGCATATATATATATTAATAGTATTTTTTCTCATAATTTTTATTTGCAGAGGCCAAGAGGATTGAGAGCAATGGGAAATAGGGATAGTGATTCCGACTAAGTAGCAGGCGTAGGACTGGATGAAAGAAATATATGTGAAGATCAGGAATGGCGAACTGATGGATTAACCGTGTTCTGCGCTTTGGCGCAAAAATGCTGATACTGTAAGAGCCAGAATTTGTTTGGAGTGAAGTGCGCGTGAATCAGGAATCATCTGCACATGGACAGAGTGAGGGTGGGAGAGAGAGAGAGTTCTCATGTCAAACTCAAATGAACATGAAATCTAAATGTATTTTCTTTTTCGCTCGTATTTTTTCTTTATTTGGCTGAAGTAATAAATTTTCTTTTAGTCTTATTGTAGCTTCTGTCATTTTGCTGAAGTAAATCTAAATTATGATTAGATTTTGGAATGATTTAAGCTATATATTGCCGATAAACAATGACAATTAGGATTTAAAATGTGAGGATGATTTTTTTTTTTTAATTTATGCGCTATGTATTATATAGAAGCTATATATATACATATATATATATATATATATATATATATATATATATACATTCATACATACATAAATACATACATGCATACATAGAGTGATAATGATTTGGTTTCAATAGATGATTCAATATTGCCGAGAAATAGGTTGTAGCATATATAGGAAATTGATTCACAATGATTTAATTTTGAGTTAAGGTGGCTTCTACAAGTATAGGAAGAAGCTCGGAAACTTTTTTAGATAGACCTAAAATATGTAATGCGAAATTAGGAGTTCAGCGTCCATCAAAAGGGTTTTGTTAACTTGTTATTGTGGATGGAGGTGTTAAGCTGCTCATGTCATTAACGTTGAAAGTTTTTTTTTTAGTTTATTTCGTTGAGAACAAAGATTATAATGATTAATGATATTGCTTGTTTTGTTTGTGATCAATTAGAATATCTTGAAGTTCACCTTTAGAGACTCATATCATTTCTGTTTTTTTCTTTTTGTTTTTTTTGTTTTTTTTATTATTTTATTTATGTTCTTATTTGAAATAAAATATAATTGAGATATGATTGCTTTTGAAAGTACTCGAAGCACTCAAAATTGTTTTAAATATTTTTAAAACTTATTTATTTTTAAAAATAAAAAATAAAAATATGTTGAAAATATATTAAACAAACATATTTTTAAAAATAAAGAAAAAAATAAAAATAAAAATAAATTAAACTTGACTCCAAACAAGATCTTAGCAACCATCTCTGTGATAGTTTTAATAATAACATTAATGATAATGAAAATAACTCTCATAATAAAAATTAAATCAATTTTAATGAGCTAAAATTATTCAGTGACTCATTTTTAAGTTGTGATGCTCATATCTTCAATTTATTAGGAATGTCTATAATGAAATAGTTAGGATTTATCAAGTTTTGATACCATATTGGGAGAAGCTTCGAGCACCATTGAGGACAATATGTCACTACAACTTTTTTGTAGTGACATATTGTCCTCAATGGTTCTCGAAGCTTGTGACATAGCCAACTTGTAGAGGAGCACTCATTTTTCCAGTGGATTCAGTTGCATGGCTTTTTGATAAATTAAAGCACATGCTCCCCTTCTCCTTCTCTTCCTTCTATTTCAATTCTATCCAAAACAGCTCAGACTTTCTTCCTCAAATATTCAGTTGCGTGGCTTTACCCAAGGCAGCAAGCAACTCGACGCCATCTCCATGTTCTTCCTTCTCCTTAAGATTATGGTAGGAGATGCTTGGTTGTGGTGAAAGAGCAAGCAACTCGACAACCTAAGTTCACCCACAATAATGCAAGAGCTCCACTTTCCTTCTTTTCCTTCAGTCATGGCATAACCCAATGGAGCGCGCACGATGTCATTCCTCTTCTTCTTCTTCTTGGCTTCACTCCTGCGACTCTACCCAAAACAATGCACGTGTCTCCTTCCTCCTCTTCGTCTGTAAGCAGAGTTCTACCTTCGGTTGTGGCTTCCTTTGCAAGTGAAGGCGACACAGCTTTTTCCTTTTTTCTTAAACCTTCTTCACTCACAGATAAGTTGTTCGACCCCTCCTACATTTTTCTTCTTCTTCTTTTTCAACTTTCTTCCTCAGTAAGGGCATGGCAGAGTTTTATCTCTTGATCTCTCTACTCTTTCTCTTGCTTGCTCGTCCTTTTCGAATGAGGGGAATTGTAAAAGATCATGTGTTATAATTGATGTGAAGGGGTGTGACTCATCTAACCATCAATACTTTTTATTTATTTATTATTATTATTATTATTATTATTATTATTTGTTTATTTAAAACTTTAAGCTATTATAGATCTGGCTTTATTGCCTTCATTAATATATCAAATATTATTGTGATAATATTTATTACTATATAAAAAGGAACATGAAACCATTCTCTGCACGGAAGACGTAGATCAATAAATATATGGCTTATTATCTTTAGAAGAAACAAGTTGTATTCTACAAAGATATACAATCCATCAACAAGCAATTAGTGAAAGTGCTAATAAAACAACAACAACAACAACAACAACAACAATAATAATAATAATAATAATAATAATAATAATAATAATAATAATAATAATAATAATAATAATAATAATAATAATAAATAACAAACAAAGAGTTGTGGCCTTGAAGTTGAAGTTCCATGGTCTTGTACCTCTCAAGCATAATGAGAAGATAAAAAAACTCAACAAGCTCAAGGATAAAGTCGATAAAGTAATTAAAAAAAAAAGAATAAAATAGGTTCTTTTTTAGTGGTGACAAAATAATCACCCATAGTGTATATTGACTAGCCCACTTTGGAGGACTAGTTATATATTATATCTAGTTTAATAAATTTAGCAACTTTGAAGCCAATTATCGATATATCACTAGAATTAGATAAAAGGTGAAGATATAGTCATTAAGGGAGACAAGGTTGGGATTTAGTTGCTCATGTTTAAGAAGGTTAACTAGCATGTTGATGCGGGTGGATTTAGTGTGTTAATTTTGTAAATATTTTTCAATATTATAAAATACACACGATAGATACAATATTAATAATGCAAATTAATCCCAACAAAATAACTTTTAAGAAAATAGTTTTATCTTTTATAAATCTTTAAACTGCCAAATCCCTAAAATTAACGCAAACATACGTATCACTCAAGTAATAAAAGACTCTAATGAAGTCTTAGATATCGATCCCGCAGGGAAGCTGGAAATGCCTATTAGTAAATTCTTAAAATTGGAATCTAAACTACAATTTTAAACTACAAAAGTGAAGTCTACAAAAGTGATAAACTACAAAAGTGAAGTGCTAAATTTGAATATAAAGTCATAGAGTGAATGTTAAATAAGATGCAATAAAAAGTCAAATTTAATTAAATTAAATGCTAAACTTTCAAATGTAAAATTACGAAAACTAACAAAGTTTTTGTGACGAAGAGCTCAAATTTAAGAAAATATCCTTCACCTTTTAAGGATTGTGTAGAAATTAAAATCATTTGAAAATACATATATAAAATTATTTTGTGCCAAATAGGCACAATCCTATTCTTCACCCTCTTCCAAGTGCATAAAGAATATTAACAAATCTAGAGTTTGGTCCTTAATTCTGTGGTTAGGCTGGGAGAATATCAGCTGCCACTCTAGAGCTCCCACTACTCCCTCATTTGAAAGTTAACAATCTCGCATCATTTTCCAATAAAGTGGACCAAATTGAGGATTTTAATCTGTCACCTTAAAATCTCTAATTCTGAATCCAACAAAGTATATTTCCCTATTTATTTAGACTCAACTCCATGGATGACATCCTCTCCCATGAAATCAAATGTGATTCTCAATATGTTATAGAAATCATAGCCTTTTTAGAACATATATTTCTCACACATTTTAATATTTCAATTGGCCGGATCGGAAAGTAAATGAATATCAGAGTTCAAATCATCACAAATTATTGACATTTAAAGCTACATAAAACAAAATTAATTCTTCGCAAAACCATATCTCAAAGTAGGGAGAAACATAAAGAAGACTACTCAGAATTCATGTGAAGGTTATGATAAAATAGGGATTTCATGTATAAAAATAAGTTTACAAAATAAAAGAAATAAAAGACAACTTATCTCAAAAACTTTCTCAAGCAAATCCGTAGACGTTCTCTCCAAGTCTTTCTCTCTTTACAAGCACTCTCAATTCTCTCTTAGAAGTGTAATGAAGAAGAAATCTCTCACCTTCCCTCTCCTCTTACAATTCTTGAAGAAAATCTTCAAGTCCTTGACTTTCTCTCTCTCTCTCTCCCTTTCTCTCTTTCATCCCCTTTACACGCCATTTCAACCTCCTTTTTTCCTAGACTTCCATGTCTTTTATTTAAGGCTTCCTCCCTCCAAAAATAACTCATAATTCCCTCCAAAGTTTTATCCAAAATTCAACTCTTTTGAATTCAAAAGGCATGTCCATTGACCCAAGAGACATATCCCTTCATAAAAGAACCTTCCAAAGTGTCTAGATGCATTGAATCACTCTAAGGGGTGTTTAGAACAAGTTTCCTTTTGAAAATTCATGCAAAATTCATCCCTAACCTCCTTAATCAGCAAAAAATCATCTCTGGCACATCTAGCGCCAGTTCTGGTGCATCTGACGCCATCTCTCTATACAATGGCACATTTGGCGCAAATCTGGCGTATCTAGTGCAATTTCTCTATAAAATGGCGCATTTGGTACCAAAATTTCCAAAATTCACTGTTTTGGCTCCAAATTTTGTTCTTTTTGTTACTTTTGCTCAAAATGCCTAAAATTGATATACCTGCAACAAAAATATGAAAATACTCTTCTTTAAAGTGCAATATCAATAAAAATAAGCATGAAATGTATACTTAAAACAACGTATTATTTTGGTGTATCAAAATCCCCTAAACTTAAATGTTATTTGTTCTCAAGTGACACTTTTACTACATAAAAGCATATATCTTATGATATAGATTAACTTATTAACCCTATACTTTAGTTTAATAAATAAGATAATAATATTTAAGAGAAACCTTTAATAAATTAGATTCAAACTCTAAGTTTAAGAGTTCTTAGTAATCAAATTTAAGATTTTTGAATCTCTATTCATTTCAAGAAAAATTGCAATTTGTCATATTTAGGATATTTAGAATGTTCATATGAAAAAGAACTTCATGAAAATTTTCTTAATAATGCTACTAATACTTCAATACAAGTTTAGAAAATGTAATAAAGTCTTTTCCTTAAGTTGATTCAAGTGAAGCCAATTTTTTTATTAAACATCTCTTCAAGCTTCTCCTAACTCATTTTTGATTTCTTTTCTCTCTTTTTTTTCTTTTTTTTTTCTCTTAGGATCTTTTCATTCCTTTCTTTTCTTTTTCCTTTTTAAGTGAGGATTACTATACCTGGATAACCTTTAATAATTTGGAAC